AGGAGAGGCAGGCAAAGAGATCAGCACAAGGCCGTACCACTTCATTGTGGGACGACAACTGAAGGGCTCCGTTTTCGGCGGCTGGAGGTCCAGAGAAGATATTCCAAAGCTCGCTCAGAAAGTCATCAACGGAGAGATCCGGTAAATTGGCCCTTACCTGCGTCTGCAACCCGTGTTGGTTCCTCGTTTCTGCTGCAGCTGTAGTCTCAGCAGTATTGTTTCTTTTGTTCTTTGAGCTTCTTTCGCATGGCATTGAGTGGTGTTTTTGTTGCAAAAAAAATCAATGGGGATGCAGTGTTGCTCCTGGTGCAACTGCAACTACTGAAGGAGAGGAGTGCAGTGACCCCCGAAACCTGAAACTGCTTGGATAGTCAGAGGTTTTAATCTGACGTATTGTTGCAGGCTGGAGAAGTACTGCACCCACAGCATGCACTTTTCACAAATAAATGAGGCATTTGACCTTCTCAAGAAGACAGAATGCATCCGCTGCGTCATGAATATGCAAGAAGAGTAGAGAGCCACAGCGGGCGAGCAGCAGCGGTGATCTAGGCCAAGCGATCGTGCTCAGACTAAACCTCCATCTGATGGAGTGCAACAAAAGCCCAAGTTCAGAAGAAAGAAGAAATCACTAGAAAATGAATTTGTTGTCATTTATTGGGTTCATATGTGTGCAAATACTGCACTCATAGAGGCCCCTTATATGAGGAAAGGTAAACATCTAACCAGCAGCATCTTTCTCTTCAGCAGTAATATCTGACGGATACATTCACTTGATTGAATCAATATAGCGGTTTCGGGTATTTCTTTTGTCAGCGATTACAAGAAGTAATCGATGAGCGAAAGAAATATATATAATAAACTGTCCACTTCTCATGGTACTGCACAACGTACGATATTCAGTCTCCCGAAAAGGAGAATAGTAGAAAGGGGAAAGACTGGATGCTGTGCCTCTCTGCCTCTGCATGGTGTTATTCTCGTTTCACCGCTCCGTTTCCTTTTTTTTTTGAAACGCGGCTGGAACCAGCAATCCTTCACGCTTTCATCAAAGTTAGAGGCGCAGTAAAGCAACAGCTGGAATATATACACAACTGCTGCATTCAGTAAGCGTCGTTTTCCGCTGTCACTGATCTTCATCGCTGCACCTATAACCGTGTCTAGCCGGTTGGCCAGCAAAGCAACTGAGGCAAGCACCACGCCCCACTCACTTTCATTTCTAGGCACTCCACATGACAAAAGCCTAGCATACGTAAAGGTAACTGTAAGCACCGGTGCATGTGTAAATGGAATCAACTGTATAAACAGCGACATCTGTACAAACAGAAGTACCTATGGACAATGCTGCACATTAAAGTATTATAGCTTCAGAGTCAGGATCACAGATGCTGGCTGTGCGGGGGGTGCAATAGAACCATAAAGCTAGAAGCCTAAAGCCTAAACCAATTGCCAATTGTATTAGGCATTTCAGCTTTAGTATCAAGATGACGCCTTCTCACACCAACGGTGTAGCAAGCAGGGAAAAAAGAACTCAACAGCCTCAGGAGTATATGCTGAGAATATTGCTTTTTATCTTTTACACAACGAGCAGTGAGTGCAGTGAGAGATTACAAGCGGTCCATTGTGAGGCAATAAACGAGGTGCCATGGAAACAGAAAAAACGAAAAGAGGCATTATATAAAGCCAGAGTTTATCAGCCTAGTGTATACACTTTGTTGATGAGCTGGAAAGCTGCAAGCCCAAGCCCTTAAACCCTTAACGCTAAACCACCAACCCGCACCAACGCCTGATGAGTTGGTGGTGCATATACTCGCGGAGGAGAGAACGAGCAAAGCATATCAAGTATTTCACTTTCAACACCACGAATAAATTCTTTTCATGTGTTTCTTGTTGTTTGCGGGTTTGTGGTTTGCTGGAAATACAATTCACCAGCCATAAGACAATATGCTATTGACTCGATTTGGTAAGGCGAACAGATGCCTGGCGCTGTTACAGATGCTGCTGCATGTTTTTGGTTTCATATAGTTTTGCTTATTCGTTGTTCAAAGGCAAAACAGGAGAAATACACGATGAAATATTTCAGCAAGCAAGCCAACGATTGCAGCAGCCTTCCGCATCTGTATTGCCAGTCGCTGCCGCCGGTTTCAGATCTTCGGCTGCA